GTATTAATAATAATAGTTGTTTTAAAACAGACAAATACAAGCAAACTAATCAAAAAAAAAAAAAAAAAAAGCAAAATTAAATAAATAAATAAAGAGAAAAAGAAATCGGTGGAGAACAGGGCAGGACACCCAGCTCCGTCTGAGCACACAGACTGTGATGGAGTTCCTGTGGGCCCAGAAGGTAGGTGGGAGTGAAGGATGGCCCACACCTCTGTTCACCAAGCAGGTTTGGGGTATAAGAGTAACAAGAGGAATGTCGCATGTTTTCAGTCTTATGGGTCCGGGTCTGGAGTGTCCTTGGGGTTGCTGGCAAGCAGAACCTGTTCTCAAGCCCCTGGAATCTGCAAGAGCTCTGTCTCTTTAAATATCCAAAATGATCAAGTCACTTATGAACATTCAAAATGGCAGCGCTCTCCGGACAGGCAAAAATCCACAGCTCACCTCGCATTTCTCTTCACCTTCTCCGTTTATTCCCCAGCCACCAGAGCAGTCCTCTGTGCAGTCCCTGGGTAGCAGGGTTGATTTTAAATTAATTCTTGGGTCCTACCGCCACTCGGCATTCTCAAAGCTGTCTGTGCCGTGATGTCAGGATCACTCAGGATCCTTTTTTGGTATTTTTATGCAAATTCTTCTGCTAGTTGGGGTTTATTCCACTTCTATATCCTTCCCTTCAAGGCTTAGGGGTCCAGGATTATCTTCTGTGTCTGTGTTAATTGATTTCCCTTTTCTTTGTTGAAGAGGGTCTGTGCGGTCTTTCTGACTTGTCCGCCATCTTACTGGAACTACCGGAGAGTACCTTTTAAAAGGTATAGGATTTCTTTTAGGGAAGAGAAAGGTGTTCTAAAATTGATTGGCGATGTATGCACAACTCTGAATATACTAAAAACCAGTAAATTGTATACTTTAAATAGAAGAATTACATGGTTATGAATTACATCTCAGTATGTTCTTGTTTAAAAAATGTTTTAAATTAAATTGATTAAGAACTAGAAATTTAAAAGTAATTCTCATTAGTTATCCAAAATAACTGTTGAATCCAGGTAGGAAAGGATACAAATTTATTAACTTGATGTTCAAGATCCTGGTAAGGTAAGAATTATTTGTAGTCACATAGCTATTGATTTGAATCCCAGCTCATACTCATTTTAAAATGTTCAATTTCTGTAGTTTCTTGGAATCTCAGCTGCTGCTTCTACAGAATGGGGTACTAGTTCTTAATTTGTGGACTCTCTTAAAATTAAATTAGTTATTCCTGCTAAAGAGCTTGTGAATGCTAACAGTGATAGCCAACATCATAGATGTCCTAATCACTATGGGATAATGGTGAGAGTTAAAAGCAAAAGGACTGTACAGAGATCCTGGTCCTTACAAATCTTTCTCGCCTTTGCACATTTATCTAATATATTTGGGATGATAGGATAGTGATACTGCCTCGGAAACACAAGGAGGGGTCGCTATGAGTTGGGGCCGACTCGACGGCAAATAACAACAACAACAAGTCTAATCCTGGCATTAAAATAGAAAGATATGTATTGGGAAACCCATATTTAAATTTAATTTTTATAGGTTAATGGAAAATAAAAAATATAAGATTAGTGACTTAAAAGAGATTTAGAAAGATTGTGACTGATAAATATTTGTTCATTTTGAATGTGTCCTTTTTGAAGGAGCCCTATATGTTTTGTAAACTACTGTGGAATGATGAAAATTTGAATTTCTTAATGAGCTCTGTGAACTGCTGATAAAAATTGAAAATTTAGATTTTTGTGGTGGTCTTATTGTATTTTGTAATGACATGGTATTGATAAAGATGTCTACACAAAATTTGTATGTTGAGTGAATCAAATAATGTGTTTGAACTTGCTCTAAACTATATTCTTTCCAAGATTTAGAAAACTTGTTTAGAAAAATTCCCCTTACTCTTGTGCCAATTTCTGTAGAAATCAAAAGCATTCATCATCATAATGTTCACCTCCCTGTTTCATCTACCAAAGATCAAAGTTAGAGTTACTGAAATGTATTAATTTATGATAGTAGTGTATCTAAACTAAATGAAGCTGTTACTGACTAGCTCATACGTGTATTAGTTACCTTGAGCATCTGACATTAAATGATGTTCTCAGATAATCTTATCTATATGCAGGGCCCTGGATGAAATTGCCCCTCAGGTGTCTGTTGTTGTTTTTAGGTACTGTCAAGCTGTCTCCAACTCCTAACAACCCTATGTATAACAGAATGAAACACTGCACAGTTCTGCGCCATCCTCACAGTCCTTGCTATGCTTGAGCCCGTCATTGCAGCCACTGTGTCAATCCATCTTGTTGAGGGTCTTCCCCTTCTTTGCTGACCCTCTACTTTACCAAGCATGATATCCTTCTCCAGGAAGTGCTTTGTAAAGGTGCCTTTTAATTTTGTCCTTTTTTGTGATTTTTAAAAGGAGATAGAGGCTTTCATTAAGGATGACCAGGGAATGTTAAAACAATTTCAGTACTTTCTTAAATTTATAACACCTTTCATCTAATCATTTCAAAATACTTGTACAATATCCAGAAGTCCATTTCTATAGATAACACTTAAGTGAAGTTGGAAGGTGGCACTGCAGTAAGTGCAGTACAGAGGAACATTTAACTTGGAACTATGTCAGAATTTATAATTGTATGGCTATGCAGGTTTCCAAATGAGAGTGATCACCACTTATTTTGTTAAGGGAAAGGTAACTTAAATAAAAATTGTTGTTTCTTTTAACTAGTTATAGTCTGTGAATTAAGTTACTTTTCCCTCTCTTTCTCTTTGACCCCAAAATGTCTTTATTAACAAGAATATATAGCGTTTGTATTCTTACTAAAAAATAAAATAATAATAATAATAATAATCAGGGTGGTCTTAGAAGTCTGTCTTCCATTCTGGCATTTCCCTTTATATAACCCTTTTGAATTTTCTGTTTAAAAACTGACATTCCAATAGCTTTTCTTTGGCCTAATGCCTAGGTTGCATATTGAGGCAGCAAATTAAGAAATGTTAAGATGTCCCCCAAAGAAAAATGTTTGTTATGAAAGTAGAGCTGATGTGACATTTAGAATTAGAGCTTCTTAACTTGTCTAAATGACATTTACTGATCTTTTTATTTTTATTTTATTATTTTTTAAAAAGAGGAGTGAAGAAAAATGAAAAGATATGCCCAGAGGCTGAGGTTAGGTTGGTTCACCAAATTGTTAAATGTCAAATGTACTTTACTGATAATATATCTTCCATCTCTTTTTAGGAGCTAATTTTGTCACTCGAAAAATCAGCCGGTCAGTAGCTAAGATTTACCTTGGACAACTGGAATACTTCAGTTTGGGCAATCTGGATGCCAAACGAGATTGGGGCCATGCTAAGGACTATGTCAAGGTAGGGAACTGATGCATTCCATTATTAAAAAATACCTGCATTGGTTGGTATTGTAAATGTCAGGCCTCTGGTGGAAAAGCATGACCTCTGGGGGTGGTATGTAAGTTTTTGCTAATGCAGGTATGTTTTAAACTCACACTACTTTCGATTTAATGCTTCATGGTTCAGGAGTCCATATAACATCTTACACTCAATGTTTACTCATTTGTGAATGAAGAAATCTTTCACAAATATTCTCTTAATCATTTAAAACCAAGGTTCCAGTTAATGGATTCGATGACAGATGGGTGGATAGGTGGGAAAACTTGCTAAATGATACACTTCTGTACTTCCTGGAGTTTCTTAACCCTCCCCACTTCTTTGCATCTTCTCCCTCCTCCCTGCCCAACATGCACCTAACTAACTTTGAAGACATTTTTTTGGTAACAGTTTTAGTTCTCAGCTGCTTAAGACATATTACCTAATTTCCATTTGTATAATTTGAGGCTTCCAGATTTACATTATTATACTAAATTCCTCTAAGAGTAATATTCTTAATGAAACATTTTGTTTTTGCTGCTTTTTATCCATACTTGAAGACCCTGATTATCATATCACACTCCTAAGTGTGACTTTGAATACTAAAGAACTTTGGATGGCATTGCATGGAACTTTGGATGGATTACGTTTAAGGGAAATAAAAATTTTCACTCTTGAGTTTCATAGACCCATGAAGTTTTGTTTTTAGTTGCATTTGTTACATACATAAGTACTGTGATTTTTCCTAAAAAGATGGTTACATTTTACTTTGTCCTGATTAGTCTGAGCTTAGATCCTGATGGTGGCTCTGTGTCCAGACAATACTGAGCATATAGTGGCAGTGTCCCTGTCCTGGGATCTGTTGTTCTCCTTTAGATTCATATGCTCTGTGTTCATCTGACCATTCTGTCCTTAACATTCCTCTCTGGGAAACTGATCTGCCTTCCTTGTCCACTGATTTAATTAGAAAAGAAACTTGAACAATCACAAGAGAAAGTGAGTAAGAAATTCATTTGCTAAAGCAGAGTTAGCTTCTTCTGTGATATTATTTTTGTTTAGAACAACTGTAATAGTGATGACCTATACTTGAACATCTAATAAAAATTTAAATTATGAACAAAAAGTTAGCTTTCATTTTTAGTGATAAGTGTGACATTGAGATCATTTATATATGTTTTACTAAGCTATAATTAAGGAGCCCTAGTGGCAACATAGTGCCTAAGGCACTTGACTGCTAACCAGAAGGCTGGTGGTTCAAACCAGCAGCCACTCCTCGGAAGGAAGGTTGGGCAATCTACTTCTTTAGTGATACCGTCTCCAAAACCCACAGAGGGGTTGCTATGAGTCGGGTCTGAATTGACAGCACATAACAACAACAACAGTGGCACAGTGGTTAAGCACTCAACTGCTAACCAACAGGTTGCCGTTATGAACCCACACAGCTGCTCCAGGAGAGAAAGATGTAGCAGTCCAAAAAGATTCAGAGCCTTGAAAACTCTAAGGTTTCCTATAGGATCACTATGAGTTGGAATCAATTCAATGGCACCCAACAAAAATCTATAATTACAAAGAATTATTTCACAGCTATAGTCCTTAGACTTACATTAAGAACCATACATCAAAAAATACCTGGGGCCACACTTTTAGAAATTACAAGAAAGTGAGAGAATGGAGGTGTTTACTGGAACAGCTATAACTTTTTTTTTAATCTAATCTATATGAATTTACGTACTTAAAAATATGAGCCAAGTTTCGTAAAAATAAATATATTATCAATGCTATTTTGGTGTACAGTTATCTACATATACTTATAACTGTATAGAAGAAGGTATTCCTCTTCATCTTGTTCTCCAAATTCAGGAAACAAATAGATTCAAATTTATTTTAATTTCTGCAGTTGGGCAAAGAAGAAATTTGTATCAAAAATTTCTCTTGGAACTCAGAAATCATGTAGATTTTGATAGTGAGAGAAACAGGATACCAAAATGTTAATGGTACTTATTACTGTTTATATTTGTGGGGTTTTTTTATTATTGTTGTTTATACTTTTCATATTTTCCATAATTTGAAATGAACATGCATAACGCTTTGCAATCAGGAAAACAATAATAAAAGACATTTTAACAATGGATCAAAAGTAATACAACAAAAATGCAGGAGATCGTTAAATAAATACATAGTACTGAGCCAAACTTTTGTCAGCTCATTGGATCTGGAGAAGGTCCCTGTGATCATCCTGTTTCCAGTGCCAAGTTTAACACTGCTCTTGAGTGCAGTTTGGTACAAAGACTTCAAAAAGATCATCTTAATGAAGTCACTTCTAAGATTACTTGACAAGGTGGTGTCAGTCAGTACAGCAGGCCCAGAAGCCTAAGTAAGAGCAAGAGGCCCTGGCCTTTCATTAAGAATGTGAAATCTTCAGATTCCACAAGAGAGTTACACACATACAAAGTTAAGTCATTCAAACTGGCACTCAAGACCTGATTTGTTCCAAATACAAGTGGTTTTTGAGTATTAAGGATTCCCCTGGGGTTTTAACAGTAACACATAATGATGATGTAAGACACATTTTATAGTTCTCATTTATGTGTTCTGAAAGATCTATCTGAATTTCTTGATTTCTAAGAAGGTATTTATAACTGTTTGCTAAGTAAGACTTGATAGTTTGCTACTTTCCATTTTAAGAAATATTACTAATTTCTTACCTTTCTAAACATATTAAATTGAGGTTACCACGGAGACTTATGACTAAAAGTGAATATTGCCAAAATTAAAGTCAACATCTATAACATGAAAAAGGAGAAGCATTGTTTGTTGAAGGCACATTTGCATCCCAGCACAATAGTCAGTCTTGGAGGTCACACCAGGCATACCAGTCTCATTTACACACTCTTCAATGGTATGGTCCCTCTCATGTGCACAAAAAAAATATTGTATTGGTAAATCTTTAGATGATGCAATTTATGCTTTTTTCCTTAGAGATAATTTTTCATGATAGACAGTGGAGATCATTTTTTCCTCGTGGCGGAAATGGTGTATGAGTGACCTAGCTGTACTACTGGTTTGCTTCTGGCCTTAAAGGTGTTCTTATATCTCCATTTACCCATCTGTGGAAAGAACATAATAACAGCCCTGTGAAAAATGACCATTGATTTGCGGCACATACGTGATTAGAATCTACCTCTCACAAACACTCTGCAACAATTTATGCAAAGTCATTTCCTGCTGCTGACACAGGTTCATTCCTAGATCAAAATGCTTCAAACATTATTTAAAGAAGAGAAATTTAATTAGGGTTTTATATCTGATAATTCAACTTGAAATAAAGAATATGAAACTATGCTAAATTATTTTGTACTTCAGAATAAACAAGCTACATGCAGTTACATTTTTTTTCAACATTTTATTACATTTTTAAACTTACAAAATAATAGTTGAATAAATTTTATAATAAATACCCATACACCCACCCACCAAGATTCTATAATTAATATCCACTGTTATTACATTTTGAGTGAAAATATTACGGTAATGCTAATGACTCACAGCTGTAAATCCCCAAGTCACACAAACACAAATTATCAAAAAATGTATGCATTTCTTCAGCAAGATAGTCAGCATTTCAAACTCTTAAAATATGTTCATCTTCTAAAATGTTTACCTGACCCTCTATAACCTGTTCCTATGTCTGACTCCTTCCAAACTTCAAGGGAAGAGAAAAGCATGTGGAGTGTTAATGTGAGCACATTGGATCATGAATGTCTGACTTGAGCAGACTCCACCAGTTGCCTTTGACTTATGGTGGCTGATAACTGCAAAGTTGCTTTGGTTCATTTGATATATATTTTATGAGTGCCTATTATGTGCCCATTATCATGTGCCTGGACACCAGGTCACTGTTCTAGCTGCTACACATGGTAGTCTTCTAGGTTCTTCCCAAGACCAAGTAAGTCTGAAAAATCCTAGATTGCATAGAGTTATGCAGATTTCTTTGTTGTAGGATTTCCCAAAACTTATGATATGCAGATGCTCACTGTGGGTCCAGTAAGATTAACATAGTGTTTCCCACACTTACTTGACCTTGAAAATAACTATTAGCATCTGGAAGTACAGCGTTGGTAAATGGTGCCATGTGTTTAAATAAAATTTATAGTAACTCAGTTTAGTTAACAAGGTCCCACTGTGATCCCACCTTGATAAAAATAGCTGGAACTCAACTGCAGCCAGAGAATATTGAAAGATAAGCTAATTGGTAGAGGCTGGGCCAGAAGTAACTTGTGCTTAAGCTTTTACCAGTCACAAGAGAATCACTTTGCTCTTGGGAGATACAAGTCATTGACTGATCTAATCTGAGCTTTCCTATTACTGGGCAAAAAGCCATTTACAATATGACAAGAGATTTTAGTCAACAGCTGACCTTACAGATGCTCCTGATGAGTTCTTCTGGACCAAAGGCAAGTCTAGGGCACATGCAACATATTAGGAGAGGACTGTTGAGTTTCATCTGAATTTAACGTCCTATTTTACTACTGCCTCCCACTTTTGTGTGTGTGTAATAGAGAACACTGACTCAATAAGGTTACTTTTTGAAATAATAATTGCCAAGTGTTGGGTTCTTATTCTGTGCTCAAAACTTTACTGAGGATTTTATATGCTTTATTTTATATAATATGCACAATAGTCTGGAAAGGCAGATAGTCTCAGTTTATGAATGAAGGCACTGAAAATTAGAGTTTAGGTGGCATTTGCCCAGAGCCACAAGTGAATTCCAGCCAGGTCTGACTCCTAAGTGTGCTAATAATCACAAATTATACTGCAGTGTGGGGAACATGGATGTTAGCAGTGGGATCTGGATTATATTCTATGTCCAGGAAAACAACAGAAAGTTTCATGCCCTTTTGTCTTCCTGCCATTTGTGGTCCAAATGGGAAGGGAAAGTCTTGCTGAGACAGCTGTCAGCGCTCACTGAGCCTTTTATATTG